TACAATGTAATTTTGAAGTCATATTTCACAAGACATCCTTACCGTAAGTAAAAATCAATCCATTTGGGAACAATCAAAATAATTCTATCAAATGTCAAAGTTAATTTACCAATCTTTTGAAACAGATCAGATTTAGAATACTTCGAATTTACATAAAGGCAATTTCGGTCTTATCTGCATTGTATATTCTTACCCATATGAATTTTTACACATGATAGTTTTTAAAAAAAAGGTATGTAGTTGATGTTATTTTTATTAGGTGTTTTCTTAGTTATAAGTGGTTTTAATTTTAGAATTAGGGTACAATGCTGTTCCATAGGTGAGTAGAAATTGCATTGATTATCTTTCATTATTAGAAAGTTTTACTAAAACTTAAGCTTGAGTAGTTTTTTACTACTCACTACACTTTTTTGATTGTTTTCGTTTAATTTTGCAAGGAGTAAAACATAAGGATTTTTCTCTTCCTTGTTGGAGTGTGAACCATAGAATTTTCAGTCCCTTTTCCAGTCTGTCCTTCACTTTCAATTCACTTTTTCAGCATTTTAGATGCCCCAGTCGCCCAAGATTTAAATTCGATATTTTCAAAACTATATTCCGTCCGAATAACAATACACCTTTAAAAAAATTTTCGAAGTTAACTTTGAATAGATTTTTAAGACATAGAAAGGTAAGAACTTTCATCAGAAAGTTTTGAATAAGAAGAATATTAAGAAGCTAATAACAATTTGGAGAAATGAACATTATTAATTTACCTAGCCAATCATCTCCCTGCATATTCGTTAAAGAAACAAACCTCCAAGTGAAATAGGATTTTGATTTAATTCTTGTAGAAAAAAAAAGTGAATAACAATGCCTCATAAATTAAATAAAACAAAAGCGCTCCTATTAAAGAAGGCGAAATAAATTTTTATTGTAAAAAAACAAGTTAGATTCGTTTAAAGAATCTCTTAAATACGAATTTACATAAATAAAAAAATACAAATTTTAGTGCTTGATATTTTTGGATGATTTTTTTTCCGGCCGCCAACTATTGCATTAGTTATAGCATTCATAACTCCTCAGGGTTTCCTTCAAATTTTAGTTTAATATAACCATTGAAAGCTGAACCACTGCTCTACCATCAACATCAACATCATAGATAACTTTTGTTTTCATTCCTTTTTAAGCTAGAAATTAGGAAAAATTTCAATTTTTATTTTTATTACATATATGTTTCTAATCTGTTTATGAAGGTCAGTTTCATACCATTTCGTGTAAATCCATCATAATTTTTCTTAGGATTGGTAGAGCCGTCTAAAGTTATCACAATATTTGTAATCGTCTACAAACTTTCGAAAGGTCCACGCCTAGGTAAACATTTCGAGCAAAAAATTTTAATTTTTCGATTTCTATACAAATTCATATTGTAAAGGGTTTTTGAGGAACGAAAAACTATTATCAAGATTACTTCTTCCTAAAATAATAGTTACTCCCACGTTGCTATGATCTGGCTTGTTGAAGATTACCCAAGACCTCCAATCATCCAACAAACAGAAAATCTCTATCCTAGTCATTTTCGACTTCTCTAAAGCCTTCAATTCTTTCAATCATAATATCCTCATTTCCAAACTCCAAAGACTGCTCATATCAAATATATACCCCGACAGTTTTTATTCCTAACAAAGCTTCTTCCTCTTCCCTTCAATTATCACGAGGTGTTCCTCAGGGCTCCTCACTCTATTCAACCCTTTTCTCCATTTATATTAGCGATCTTCCTGACTCCATTCGTCACTCCCACTATCACTTATATGTAGACGATCTACAAATTTACGTTCCAACCATCTGAGATGCCTGAGGCTACCCAAAAACTACAAGAGGATATTGACTGTATCCACAGGTGGGCAGAAAAAAATTAACTGGAGCTGAACGCAGATAAAACTAAGGTAATCCTCATCGGTTCTAAGCATCTCATTAGTTCCCTTCATTCCTCTGCTCTTACCTTTAACTCAATAACGCCTCTTTCATTTCTTTCCGACAGTCAAAAACCTCGGGGCGATCTTTGATCAGAACCTCTTTTGGAAGAACCACGTTGCCCAAATTATTCGTAAATCCATAAATATCTTTAAACAATTCCTTCGATTCAGTGATTCTATTCCAAAAAAAAAAAAAAAAAAAAAAAAAAAAAAAAAAAAAAAAAAAAAAAAAAAAAAAAAAAAAAAAAAAAAAAAAAAACAGAAACCTCCTTGTAACATCCCTAGTTTTCCCCACGGTTGCTTGTTGCATGGAAGGCTGTCCACAAGTCTGGAGGTGAGATTGAAAAGGCTTTGCCAAGCGATCTCGTGTTTCCTGCTGGTACGCCGGATTGAAGTGACTTTATCCTACTTCCCAACGGCAATTCTTCCTTGGTGTTTTCCTTTTCCAAGCCCTCAGAATCAAAAACTCTGGCTAATGGCGTCTAGCTAAAGCTTTGTAATAATAAAAAAAAAATATGCTCCCTACATTTTAGAACTCCTTACTTTACGCTCCTCCGTCCACTCTCTCAATACCAGTTTTCAACCAATAGATCTTTTATGTAACGCCTCTCAGAAAACCACTTCCTTCAGCGAATCTTTCATCATTCGCGCTGCCTCCTTCTGGAACTCCTTACTCTTCTCCATACGTCAAACCATGTCCTTAAATTCCTTCAAACAACTTCTATTCCACCACCTACAACAAATTCAAACTTCCGCAAGGTTGTAAGAATTTTTAGGTTATATAATTACACTTTTATTTTTATTTATTCACTTCTTTTTCTATCAATATTTTCTGTTTATATTTGTATTTTGCTTCGTATTTTTTGTATATATTTGTATTTTTCTTAGTAATTTTTTGTATATTTATATTTCCCTGAGTATGTACGTAGTAATATTCATATGTTTTTAACTGTGTTATTATTCTATGGGGATTTCAGTCTCAGAATAAAAATTATTATTCATTTCATTTCATTGCTAGGTCGCGGCGGTTGGTACAAATTGTGTATGTTTTGTAGCTATCTGACAAATATAATATTTACTTAAAACCGGTCTGGTATCGAGAATAAATATTCTTTTTTAGAGAGAAACAAAGTTGATTTTCATTTTTCATATTTAAAAAAAACTCTTTAATACGAATTGTATTAACACCCTGCTCTCACCGTTTGCTCAGGAAAAACCTCGTAAAGCCGAAAAGGGGAGGTAGGAGAGAAAATATCAGAATTCCTGTATTTCAGCTATTCTTTTAATTTTTTTTTTGTTATTTTGTTGTCATTAACAGAGTTTGTCGCCTATAACAACCTTCTCCATCTAGGTATATCTATGCAGGGCTATTTCTTTCCAGTGGTCTGCATACAGCTCTATTGGATCTTCGTTGATTCGATATATCCATCTGTTTTTTTGCCTTCCACATAATCTAGCGAGGCGTTCATTGTTGCGTAAAGGCTTCCAGATGGATTGCACCTAAAGGCACCTAGATGCTTGCTTTCATGATGATGAGGTATTGACCAGTTTCTGTATGCAGCTCTTTATTGTTCTTTCTCATCCATTTTTTATTGATCCCAGATTGCTCTGATTATCGCGCGGAGGATTTTTCTCCCAAACCAAAAAGATTGTAATTTTTTCTATATGCCGTGATGAAAATTATTACAATTATTTTTTTAGAGTTATAGAATAGAATAGAATAGAAAATTAAACTTTATTCTGGGACTAAGTCCCTTTAGAATAACAATGATGAGTTAATACAAAGTAAAGTACAAATCTGGCCAAAAACTAACTTATAAAATTTTTAATATTATATACATTATTTAAAAAGTATGTAACCAGTAAAAAATAAAAAATAAAATATATATACAAATGAACATAAAATCTTCTTAAAATTACTTAATTGTGATGAAAAAAAAAAGAAGAGAAATTACATATTTATATATACACAACTACACAATTTATAAACAGTAGGCTATCTAATAGAAAACTAACTTAATACAAAATGTAATAATGTCTACAGTGGTTTATATAATAATATGCAAACACTAAGATAAAACAAAATCTTAGGATACTTGTGGTTTAATGGAAAAAATAAATAAATAAAAGGAACTATTTATACGTACATTCTCATAAAGACAAAAATATAAAATATAAACATATCTACCCGAAAGAAAAAGCACAACCTGAGGAGAAGAGAAAAATAAATAAATAGTAAAAATAATAGTCAAACTAGGTGACAAAGATCATTGCTGTTTTATGTTAAAACTTAAACAGTAGGCACCACTATTTACTTCACGCAAATTCAGTTCATAAAATGAAATTTATGGTGGTAAATCTTCTGTTTGGGATGTAAGGAGATATTGGAAAAGGAGGTATTTGAAAGTTGACAGGGAAGAGGCATGACGGATGTTATGTGGCAAAGAATTCCAATAGGAGACGGAGCGGGCTAAGAAGGAACGTTCATAGGTTTTTGTCCTGTGGAATGGAATATAGAGGTCAGAAACACGGGATCTCGTTTTTGTTGAGTGGACTAAGGGTTTAGGCTGGAGGAGACAACAGATATAGGAAGGGTGCTGGGAGTTGATCGTTTGGTATAAGAAATTTCCAAGGAAGTATAGGCGACGGGAAGAGGGGAAGAGCCACTTTGACTCGGCATATAGGTGGGACACATGGGACCATCTCGAAGTGCCTAAGACGAATCTTAAAAAACAAAGTGTTTTTTACAAACTTAAAACAAAGAGTTATAGTGTTTTTAAAAACTTTTTTTGTTTAATTATCAACGTATTAAATATAAATTATTTTCTTTCACTTTTATTCTTATTTAATTTTCAATTCTTATGTAAGTAAATTAATGACTATTAAATTATATTTATTTTTAGAACACTCAACTTTTATTTAAGTTATAGAAATTTTATATAATGCAAAGTATTTTTTCTTAATTAAAATCCAAGATTTTTTTATATATATGTATTTAAAATATAGTACACTTAGAAGTTATAACAGCTCGAACCTTTTGAGTTTCAGGGGTCATTTCCAGCACTGAAAAATGGGACTACGCTTTCAATGGAGACGGTAAGAATATTATTATTTATATCATTTTTTGATAAATTTATATCATTCTTTACGGTGCCTTATTTTAGATGTATGAAGGGAATCTTACCTAATTTAAAATTTTGACATCTCGTATTCATCCAAGATTTTAGATTCCATATTTCGAAGTTAAAAATTATCTCTACCTAGATAAGTTTTGAATTATATGAACTAAATAAACATTATAATAAATTATAATGGAGTATTATTGGGATTTTTAGGTTATGTGAGATGCAAAATCATAACAATAAGGTGCTTTTCTGTGTTAAATTTAATTGGTTGACTTTTATAGGATTAATAAACTACGTTAATTTTTTTAAAATATATATTTCGGTTATATTCGTTTTATAATTGAGATTATGTCAGTTTTCGAAATCTATAAATCGATTTACTGAAAAACCGTTGGATTAATTATTTCACGGGCGAATCCTACTTCCAGTTTTTGTTGTCTTAAAAAATAAATGAGATCAATCTAAATATTTGAGTAGGCTTCAAAACTGTGATTGAGGTGATTCGGTGGATCGAAACGGAACAAATTTTAAGGGCGTGTTAAAGCTTTAAAATAAACCGTTTTCGAGATACTGCACGGTAAAGAGTAATCGTTAATTTTATAGTCATTTACTGGTATCTCAAATACTAATTGTTCTGTTGGTATTATATTTTTATCCTCTTAATTATATTATATCTGCTATTATTATTATAATAGTAATTATATAATTATTGTAATTGCTACGGTGATTGTGAAACGGGCATTGCGTTTTAAACCCTTTAAGTCCACCGTTTTTCAAGATAATGCACGGTAATGGTTTTGCAGTCACACAAGATCACCTTAATTGTAGCGTTCCTTTGTGATACAAATATTATATTTCGTCGATAAAGTTATAATAAATGAGAGAGGAGGAGATTATATATTCGTTTTCTTATAATTAAACTTTAAGATAAGATGTGTATACAATTTTATTTGTCTTCTAATTAGCAACTGAAATATTGTTGGTAGTGTTAATAGCTTTCCGATTATCTAAAAATCTAATTAAAAGTGATCGGATTTCCAAGGGAACAAGAGCAGTATCGTAGTACTTATCATTATAATTTAATTATATAATTATATTATATTATATTATACATTATATAGTATATATTAAATGATTATATATATATATATATATATATATATATATATATATATATATGAATTATATGAATTATATTATATAATTTATTAAAAGTATTTTTGTCGAATCGCTGTATCTTCGTTAATAATTCATCAAATATAATTATTGAGCCATTATTTTGAAAATTTTCTTCTTCGCCAGTAACGTGCTATAATCAAATTCTTCCGGCCTTCTCTAAAAAAAAACATTAAAAAAACAATAAATAAGGTTTTGAAGAAAAGAAACTTTACTTTTGTACAACTCAAACAGTATACAATTTATAATGGATTGTGCACTTGAAAAGTCTCAAATTCCCTACTAAACGAAAAAAATATTGAGATCGGACCAATATTATCATAAATAGAGATGATTGAAATATGTTCCTAAGTTTTGGTTTAATACTTTCAATAATGAACTATTGTATGCGACCGAGAAAAAATAAATAAATTCTCTTTTTCAATAATAAAGTGTATTTCTCATATTACCTTTTGCTCTTTGATCGGTATAATGTGAATGATTCGCACCGGCCAATCAGTAATTTGTAATCCATTGAAAAGTTTATTAATCATTAATAACAGTAAAAAAAAGTTAAAAGCTTTTGTTGATTAGATTAATCTTGATTTGTATAATAAGAATTACCGATTCAATAATAATAAAAAACAAATGACAAACTGATTAGTTTTAAAAATCCCAAGTTATTGTTGTTTGGTTATTTATAATTTTCAATTATTTTTAAAGAATGAATTTTCTAGATATATGATAATCGTTTTTAAAAGAAAAAAAATGTAATGATTGCCTATGTATATTGAAATAGCATAGAATAATAATAATATGGCTCAACAGATTGGGAAGAACTTTGCCAAACCGGGGAGAGACAGTCTCCGATCGACATCGTCAGGAAGTGGACTTCATTCAAGCATGTAGCGACACCCTTGGAACTGATCAACTACGATAAAGAAGTTCCGGTTTCAGTGATAGTTGATAAAAGCCATTTCACAGGTATTAGTTATATTAATTTTGAATCAATAAATGCAAATTTTGCTTACAATGAAAAAATATTACAATAAATTTATATAGTCAAAGTAATGAATGTGAAAATTGCATTTTTATAGTTAATTACTTTTATTAATATTTGCAAAATAAAATTTTATGAACATAAATCTAGAACTGAGAGAATTATATTATGACATGAAACCAATTCGCTATGAGGAAGTTAATATTAAATTGTGGAATTATTTTTTAGATACCAAAGAAGTAATATATTCGTATTCGTTACTTAAACGAAATATGACATACATAGAGTAGAACTGGAAAAATGTACTTCTTAAATAGTCTATCAGATGTAATGATTATTTATGTTTCTATCTATCTTTACATCTATCCGTTTCCCATTGAAATATTTTTTGAAATGATCATTTTAGAGACTTCGTAAGATAGGAAAAATTCGAAACAATCCCTGGCAAAATAATGACAAATATCGTAACCCGGGGAACGTAATCACAGCTGATATGTTAAATCACATAAAATGAACATTTAAATTTCACATAGTTTAAAACAGATATAGCGGAATTAATAAATCGAACGTCTTTAATCCACTAACATGCTAGTCTGTGGTAAAGATTTCTTATCGTTTATCGAATTGTTAACATCCGCAAGAAACTTCGTAAATAGTTTCATCTCACAGTAATCTAAAAGTATTTTATTTAAGAAAAATCTTGGAATTGGGGCGTTTTCAATCAGGACGGGGGAAAACTTTGTCTATATAATAACTCGCAAATAATCATTTGTCTATTTAATTAGGTACCAAAAACTCGTAAATAGCCATTTGCTTTTTAATTTGATCGTAAGATAATTTGATCACAAACAGGTGGCCTTCAAAAATATTGAGCCGTTTGGCGTGACCTACACCCACAAATTTTCAAAATAACGTGGTTGTTTAATCTAAACGCCAAAAAATTTTTGTAGGCCACCTTTTTTATCGATTTTATGATCAAATTATCTTTCGATCAAATTAAAAAGCAAATGGCTATTTACGAGTTTTTGGTACCTAATTAAATAGACAAAGTTTGCCCCCCTCCAGACTGAAAACGCCCCAATTCCAAGAGATTTCGTAACTAAAATGGTTGTAGGTTACTATGAGATGAAACTATTTACGAAGTTTCAGGCGGATGTTAATAATTCGATAAAAAGTGGTCTGTACCACGGACCATACCAATAAAGAACAATGTAATAAATGATTCTTGTGCTTCGCATACGTTTACACATTTCACAGACTAATGAAACACGATTTTGTAAATGGGATGTTTCTTTAGGCTAGTGTTTTTGTCCCTCTGCTTGAAACCAATTCATCTGCAGTCGGTTTAACAAGAGAAAAAAAGAAAAGAAGTACACACTTCTTTAATGTTTGCGTTGCTTGAGAGATGTTGATTTAAATGCATTTTCTTCATCCTCTAACTTCTTTAAAGAGCTTTACGCCATCTTTCATTTGCTTTGCTTCCTTTTGTTTTCCGGTAAAAGAGTTTCCGTTACCTCGGAATAGCTGGCCTTATTTTCTCCTGAAGGAAGAGTAGGAATAAGGATAAGGAGAGTAGTGTTGCCCAAATTCGGTCACTTTGCAAGACCAAGACCAAGATCGCGTAGCTATTGCAAGACTAGACTGGTAAAAAAATCGTTTTGTTGAATAAAAATTAAGTAAATAGTTACTAATACTTGACAATTTTAGTTATTATATGTAAAGAATTGGTATAAGAAAAATATTTGGGCTTAGTTAGGTTTCCCCAAACTGAAAAATTGCAGCAATATTTCTATAATAATAAGCTAATAGGTAACTGCGAGACTTTTGCGCAAGACCAAGACCAAGTGCGGAATACCAAAACTCGTTTTGGTCTCGCATTTGGGCAACACTAAAGGAGAGGATAAAGTTTTGGTAGATGGTGAACGGAAATGGTTGACTGACACTTGTCTTATTAAAATACCACAATTTTCTTTGAAATTTAAATAAGATTCTCTCTTTTTTCGTTCTCCAAGTCTAAGTCAGTATCTGTCATGAATTGCTACCTTTTAAATCGAGCATATATAAAATATGTTTCTCACCTTAAATTACGATGGCAAGATTTCTAAGTAAACTAGATTTTCTCATATGAGAAAATGTAATGTGGTTGGACTGGTATAGCGTCAACATTTCTCGACAAAGAGTTTTTGGGAGATGATATAGTTAGAAAAATGGAAGGTTAAATGTGTTAAACATTTGCAACTCAATCACTCTTGACACTTGGATGGTTGTGAATACATAGGTACATCGTCGGTTAATTAATGAAAGTTATAGTAAGAGGTCCCCTATTTTTCATGTATATATATTTTTCAACCAATTTTTTTTATGCGATGCTACTAGATTCGAAAAATATTGGACACATATTCCGCCCCAATGGGCTCTAGGAGCCGAGAAAAAAAAAAAAAATCGAACAAAATTTATGTTATTTATTTTTGCCTGGATTTTTGGATTATTGTATATAAATCGATTTATCTTTTTGTGCAAAATAAGAAAAAAATACTGGTTATTTTATCAAATGAGTTATAAGGTGTCATAGATCATAAAAACCAAAATGCGCTTCTAATAAAGTAGGCCAAATAAATTTTTGTTATGAAAAAGCAATTTGGATTCGTTTTTAGTGTTCTTTGAAACTCTCTAATACGAATTTATATAGAACTCAAATAAAGGGAATATTCATCAGGGAAAAATAAAGTTGATATTTGCACCTCAAAAATATTCTTAATTATGAATTTTTAGGGCGATTGTAAAATTAAAGTTACAAAACTGATCTCCGTAAACAAATCAGAAACAAAGATATTAAATGAAAGTGATTGCGAAAGGACACTAAAAACGATTTTAACTTGATTTTGCATAACAAAAATTTGCTTGCCCTACTTTATTAGAAGCGCATTTTGGTTTTTATGATATATGACAAATTATAAATATAATAAAATAGCCTATGTTTTTTTTTCTTATTCTGCACAAAAAAATAAATAAAGATTGGTATATAATAGTATAAAAAGCCGGACAAAACAAAGAAAAAAATAAATAGTATAAATTGTGTTTAAAATTATATATAAATGTTTTTCTTCGGCTCCTATGGCCCATTGTATTAGAAATACTGTCGGGATAAGTGTCAAATATTTTTCGATGTAGTACCGAAGAGAAAAAAACGATTGAAAACCGTGACCCACTGTCTATTGCCTCCACTGGTGAGTATATTTTTTGTTGAGTTTAAGATTTAAGTACGTTTTTGGAAATTCCGGCATTATGTTTCGATATAAAAAGTTGTACACAGTAAGTGTATCAAAATTACACAAACCATTTTATGAATCGAAGTGCACAATGTTCTAATTTACAAAAGTGAAAATTTATCGAAGTACTTAGTGTTATAATTTTATGAAATTCTACTTAATTGCTTTTTGAAATAGACAATATGCTACAAAAAAAGAACCCTTCAAACGTCCAACGCTTATTCATCAAATGGCAAGTGATCAAGCGGGCTCTGGATCATATGTTTAGAGACAAACAAAAACTACCTAATTAAAACAAATTTACTCATTTACAAGGTGCAAGACACTTGTTTCGAAATCCTTATTCACTAACTTTATTTATTTTTTTAAAATAAATACTTAAGTTGGGCGGAAAGATAAGGTAAAACTGTTGAGCAATGCGGGCCGTAGTATTCCAATCGCTCAAGGCATTGTAAACAAGTAGGTGTTCAATCTGACGTCTTTATGTTAAGTATATTCTCTATTTTTTATCTTAAGTACCTGTTTATGCACTCCATGAAATTTAATATATATGCATGTAGCCTTTCGAACCTCTAATTTACTTACATAATTATATCAGTAGATTTCTCATCCAAGTAATTTTCAGTCCTCTCCAAGTATTCCTTGCGATAAGAAATGTGTCCGTCGACTTTTCACCATTATTGGGCAATCCGATTAATTTATCATGAAATTGTTTCAGTATGTATGTTTGTATGTGATAGTCACAGTTCCTTGGTCTTTTTTACGTTAATTTGTATTGTGGATTGATTAGTATTAATGTCTTGGATTGAAAAGTTTCAACTCGCTTCATACATTTATTTTTAAGGGTAGAGGAAAGAAGTTTCAATAGGTGTTCGTAAATATTTAATTTTTTGTAAACAAGATTTATTTCGTTTTTTTCATGTGTTGGCTGTTAGTTCCATCGATAGACGCAGACCTATTTCAAAGAACAAAAATAAAATAAAAAACAATAATAATTAATTTACATGAATGAATAAAATATGTAAACTTTTGTACAATTTTTTTATTCTCAAGGTACTTTGCTCCAGAAGAAAGTTATTTTCTATCTATTTATCCAAAGTTCAATCAATTAAGAAAATAGAAAAAATATTTTATAGTATTTAGTAGTATGACAAATATTTCACCTCTCCCTATGTTCCTATTTTTGAATTCCTATATTTTGAGTTCCTATTTTTAGTTTATGATCAAAGATAATCATGTCCTAGGATTTTATGATTCATTCATGTGGATCCTTCCACTTTTACATAAACATTTCTTCTCATCTCTCAAACATTTTAACAGTATCGGAGAAAGGAGAGTTGATATCACTGCCTCAAACCTTTAAATAATGATAAAAATACGTAATATATTAGATTGCTTTGTTAAAATATTTTCAAATATATCCTTCGAAAAAAAAATATATATAAAGACATACATACATTTATTTTTATATATACTATTTTATTTTTCGCTGTATAATAATTATGTTAATTATATTAATTATCTCTCATAAATTGTATACATAATATGAACTACCGAGACTTTTTCGGGGGTCCATCGTTCCTTCCCCCTCCCCCAACCAAAATGGAAAGTCTACGCTTATGGTTCCATGTCATATATATTTCTTTGTCTCTCTTACTGAGATCTGTTCTTATGGAGTTTAGGGTGTTGTAGTATAAGCGGAAAGACATATCTCGGGCCTATAATTAAACGTGAAATGTTTAGACTTTTCGTTATCTATTTATAGAACAATTTTTTTTTTTAAATAGCTACATTTAACCCATGGAAGAGGATAACATACTGCAGATTCCTTAATTAAATATTTGGCCGATTTATAAAATTGTTTAATTTATAATCAAAACATGAATATCAATTTTTTAAATTGACTTTAGGAAGCGGAGCAGCTCAGTGAATGATGCACTGGGCTGTTGAGCTCAAAGCTTTGCATCTAGCTGATGTCAAGTGATTTTTCATCAGCCATGAATCGACCCTGAGGTCGAGAGACCTTCCTTTGGCCCCCCTTCTACAAAGTGCATTATAATGATTATAACCCTTCATGGATTATAATGAGACAGGTTTTCATTTTTTTTTTAAATTCACTTTGTGCAAATTTAAATTTGGGGGTAGGTTTAAGCCGTAAATTTTAATTATTAAAAATATCTGAATATTGTCTAATAATTTGGTGGCATTATTGCGAAAAAGACTAAATCGCAACAAATTTCGTTCGGGGCTGAACACGTTTGATTAAAAAAAAATAGAGCTTTTAATGAGAAGAGTATTGAAAAAAAAAAATCGTTGAGTATACTCTCTCACGATTGTGCAAGGCTTCATCCATAATGCTAATTATTTCATTCTTAGAGATGAATTAAATTGATAGAATAATTTACCAATATGTGAACAAACTACTAATTCTGTGCAAAAAACAAAAACAAAAAAAAAACGCACAAGATTTTAAAAACCTATTTCTGTATTTATTCCATGTTCTAATCGAACGGAGAAGAACTATTTAAAATTTTATTTATTTTCTACTAGGTTCAAGAACGAAATACTTTTCCCTTCCGGTTAGAACAATATCATAAAAATTAGAAAAATTTTCCGCAGAACATGAACGGTATGAGTGGAATTCTCAACAAAGGATTAGTATAGTTCCACCGCAAATAAAAGACCTCCCCCGACAAGGTTTTCCGTGATCATTAAAAAAAAAAAAAAAAAAAAAAGAAATATATTTATCCTGAGACAGTTCTATACAAATTGACCTGCAGACCTACGAACAATTCGAAAATAGTCCGTGAGATTGGAGAATTTCCAAATTATGTAATTTATTTAAAGTTTAAGAGATCCGGATGCACTACATGCTGTAGTGTTACAAACTGGATCCGATCCAAATTTATTTAATGACAACGACGTACTGGCTGGTTTCCATTAATCGCTAATTTCAAGGGTGAACGGGCTACTTCCGCCACTTCCTTCCCTTTTTTAGAATATTTCATTGTTCCATGTTCTGATGGTGTACGTAATAGTTATCTTAATAGCTAAAAGTGATTTACACGTTTATATGGATGATTGGCTTGTACATATTGGTGTATGTATGATTTTGGAGGCCATTGGCAACAAGTTTTGGTGCCTTCCTGAGCTTCTCATTCAAAATTTGAAGATGTATATGTACTTTATTGTTATAAATTGGTTCTAAAAATACACTTTAAAGTATTTTGAAACGTTGCAAGTGGCAACAAAACTTAAAAAAAAAAAGGTGTCTACAAATTTAAAATAACCTTTTATCAGATATTATGGGGACTAGAATTAGATTTATCCTCTTCATACCAAGCAGAGGCGGATCTACAGGGGAGGCTTTCGGGGTGACGGGCTCCCAAAATGGTGAAATATTAAAAAATTATCTCTTAAAGTACTATTGTTCATGTAATTACATTTAATAGGAGTTCAAGAATCACTTAAACACCACTTCATATAGGTAGTTAGTATTTTTATTTTTTTCCTAATGTAACTATCGTTATATTTATAACGATATTTTGAGGGGCGTTAGCCTAAAAGATCTTTTTTTCCATATATATATATATATATATATATATATATATATATATATATATATATATATATATATATGCAAAAAAAAGCTTTTAGGCTAACGCCTCTCAAAATTAAATTCTGTATCCGCTAGTGCCACAAAGTATGTTTTGAATTCATGGTAATCCAGTATCTAGACTAGAGACACCATGTAAATCCACCATTTTATGAAATACTACATAGTAGCAGAGGTAGATTATACAATGGCAGACTAAGGGGCCACATAGGGCACTGTTGTATAATTATAATATTATTATTGAAAACTTTAAGCTAATTTAAATCCATATCTAAAACATTTAGAATATAATGTGATATATACAGACGGTTCTAAAGTAAACATTGAAGTAGGATGCGCTGTTATGAACTAACAAATTCAAAAGTTCTTTAAACTTCTGGAGATTGATTCTGTGTTTATTGGAGATATGGTTGCAATGAGAGAAGCTCTAACATACATTGAAACAACTGATAGTAGCTATTCAAAAAATATGATCAATAACAACACAGGCTAGAACAATAGGAAATATTTGGTGGAAATTAATAGAAAATGGAAAGGTAATGATGTTCTTCTGTGTCCCTTCTGTGCACAGAAAAATCACTGGAAATTAACTACATGATAAAACAGCCAATATGGCTAGAATGGAATAAAAAACGCCGGTTGTAATAATTAACAAAGTGCCTGAAGAAGATTTCTTACAACATATAAAAAAGGAGGTGTGCAAAATATGACCGAATAAATAATCTAAATTAAAAGCTAGTGTTGCAAATGTAAAACTTCTAACCAACTCTTCATGAAAGAAGGAATATCCCTCTGCCGATTAAGGATTGGGCATTATGAGTTTTCACATGCCTATCCGTCAAGAGACACACCTAGACACACCAATCTATGAGAGTTGTAGTGTTCAAATAACAGTCCAATGCATTATTCAAGACAGCTCTATAATTAAAACTGTAAGAAAAAATATATATGGCACAAAGCCTAAAATTTGAACGACAGCAAAAAAGCAATGAAAAAACCTTGAATTTTTAAACATAAAATAGAACTGTACAACAGAATGTAAGTAAAAGGTGCCATCAATGACCCTGCAGGGTAGAGGAAACAAATAAGCCGCAATAAATAAATAGTTTGAAAAGGTAATTAAATAGTTTTTAATATTTAATTAAAAATATTTAAAATTTGTGTTCTGTTATAAATATAATTTTCACTAAGTTAGTACATTTTTTTTTCTAAAACTATTTGAATTTATTAATTATTATAATTACCTTCTTGATCCAATTTTTGTTGTAGTTGAGTCATTAACATTGAGTAATTAACAACTGCAATGTTTGTCCTAAACTCAAACAGGAGGAGGTGTTTAATGCATTTGGATCTGCTTCTTTACATTTTGAATCACTGACTGCAGGATTGATGTCAGGTAGCAGAATCCATCCTTTTTTACTGAATGTTGTGCAACTGAAAGTAGATAGCAAGAAGCAAGCACTCCAAACTTAATATTACTCATTTGTTTGAATGCACTTTTCTATCAAAATAGATCATACCCTTCCCAGTAACATAGTAGTGTTACTGAGAATTGTTTTTGATTAACTAATTACGTTCATTCATCATATAACTAAACAGTACATTCATTCAGTCATTCCCCTGTTTCCTTTGGTATTATTCTTTCCACGTTCTAACCTCATACTGTGAGATATTTTCTATTCATTATTATATCTGTTTAATCTTCATTGAATTAAATTGACTGTTTCTGTTTAATGAAAGAAACAATTTCAAATATACAGATTGCTAATAAAAATCTCACCTCTAATTGAAGCAGGAGGCTATATGAACAGAAGCAGACAATTTTCATTTAATACTATGAGCTCATATCAAATCCTTTTGATTACAACTTTCATTTTCTGGGGTTCCTTCAGCCTCATTTCTTTAAAAATTAACAGATCTTCTAATCTCTTCCAGGTATTATGTATGTGCAATGTTATAAGTTAATCGACCCTGTGATAATTTTCTGTATTTTTTTTTAGTAAAAGTTATTCCAGATCTGAATAACAGAATTGCCATTTCCGGGGGAGGCCTTCGTGGGACATATGTACTGCAACAAGTTCACTTTCATTATGGGTCAGAACATCTCATTGATTCTCAGAGGTATCAACCACAAATATAATTATTGAAGGAAGTTGTCGACTGTTATACATCATAGGTGATAAATAGTCAGAACACAGTCATTTTAAGATTTTTATTGTAGTTTCCGATATTGTAGTTTTAACCCCAACATTTGGGTCATCATCAGGGCATGTTTCGAGTATTGATGGTGTTTAAGTACTGGAGTACAGATGACTACTTGAACACCTTCAGTTATGGAAAGATGCCCTGACAATGACCCAAATGTTTGGATTGAAACTACAATAAAAATCTTAAAATGACTGCACCCTACTATGTATCGCTGCAAATATAATTGCATGTATGAATTCTCCTTAATCCAAAATATAGTAATTAGTTTTAATATAGTTGAAGAAATTATTTATTTAAAAAAATATTTATATATTTTCGTTTGCCTAGATTATTTGTTTATATGTAAAAAAAAGTGCAGAAATTACAATTTTAGAAATTTTACATTGAATTTCTAAGGATTCAACACCAATTTACCAACAAAATGCTATAACCCTAGAAACCATCGGAAAACGATTCCCAGAGACAGAATGGCTCCATGTATATACTGATGGTTCAGCACTGGAAACACCCAAACATGCTGGAGCTGGAGTTTATTCAAAGGAGTTTCAACTTGCCGCCCCGGTCGGAAGGGCAACCATAAACTTTGAAGGGGAAGTGAAAGCTATTCTCTTAGACCTTGAGGGATTAATTGAACAGAAAGAGAAGAAAGTTGCTTTATTTGTTGACTCACAGACAGCCATTTTTTCTCTCCAAAGTGGATATAATATAAATCCAAATGTCCCTAAATGCCATCTATATTTGAACCGATTAAAGGAAAATGGGACAGAAGTCGCTTTCCAGTGGATACCAGGCCATTGCGGGCTCCTCAGAAATGATTAAGCTGACTAGCCAGAATAGGTTCTGGAATGATCCAACCAGATATTCCTCTGAGCATGGATTCAACGAAAAGAATTATAAAAGAGACCCTCCAAAGTTCACTGAAGGAGAAATATGCGCAAACAATTGAAATTTCAATAAATGCAATAGACAACTAAGTTTTCAATTGATTACAAAAGTTAAAAGTATTAAATTAGAAATTTCATAATTACAATGAAGTTTCATAAAAAATAGATGAAATTACATAAAAATCACAAAACAATTAATATTTTAATTTAAAAATACAAATACAGTTACAATTACAATGAAGTCACAAATTTAACATTAAACTAAAATCAGTAATTATAAATTAAACTAAATAAGTAGTTTATTATCATATTATAAAGTTTATAAAAACTACTAAATTTACTGGTTTACTTTTCGCAATATTGGAAATTAAATATAAACATATTACATATATATTATTACAGAATAATAAATATTTAAGCTACTATTATTAAATCAATACATGTGACAGTTCAATTTAGAAAAAAAAAATGTTTAAACTCTAAAATTGGAAAAAAATTAACAAACTGTATTGATTCCTTCTATATAAGCATTCATAGTAAGTAATTTTAATGTGAGCATATACCACATCCATTGGAATGGGTGTATGAACAAGAGTGAATCTTGGGAATCTTAGAGAAGAAATGTTTGCGAAGCTCTTTTTGATGTCCTGGGTCCGGATGATCAATTGGCTTTGAAATTCCTAGTTATCTGTTCCTTCTTCATTTTCATAATATATAAATATATAAAATAATATACTCTTGTCCAGATCTACGGAACTGATAAGAGGGATTAATATTTATGGCTATTCAGTCAACTAAGCAATCCATAACATAACATCTGAATAAAAAAGTTTCACAGCTCAGCATGTTTTTTTTTTTTTATGGTTTTATTTTGGTTAGTTCTTTAAAATTATAAAAAAGACTAGAGCTATCTAAAGCTTCATTAAAATACCATTTAATCTAATGAAAATAAAATGATTGGTAAAATATTTGGGTTTTGAGATAAACTGATGACATACATAATGAAACTATATTAAAATACGACGGAAAATAGTAATTATTCTATTAATATAAAAAAAAGTATACTCACGTCAGCATATTTCTTTTTTCAGGTATGCGTTAGAAGCTCACTTGGTCCATTACAGAGAAATCTATGGCAACCGAACAGAGGCTGCATTAAATGATCCAGAAGGAATCGCTGTTCTTGGAACTTTATTCTGTGTAATATATTTCAGTATTAATATTATTTAAATGATTAAAAGTAAAATTTAAGTAACCTTATAATTTTATAACTTCCTAATCTGAACTTCAGTTATCCCAATACTGCTATAATCCAAATTAGTAATAAATAAATAATAATATTAATCTAATAGTTACTAGACAAAAGCACATGACAATGGCAAACTAGCCCGAATGATTTCATTTTTATTTCATAAAGTTCCTTCCCTTGAAAATGACATGAAGGGCTGAAATATTGGATTTAAACGAAAAAGATAAAGTAAGACCTATGGATCAAATTTGTTTTTATTATTACAAGTAAAATTGAAGTCCTAACCACCAATATATATATATATATATATATATATATATATATATATATATATATATATATATATATATATAATGGAAGGAGCTTTATAAAATTAAAATAAAACTATTTGGGCTAATTTATATATATATATATATATATATATATATCTTGTTTAATTGACAAAAGCATGTGACTAGACCAAATTAGCCCGAATGGTTTTATTTTAATTTTATAAAGCTCCTTCCATTGAAAATGGCCTAAAGGACTGAATTGTTAGCTGTAAAAAAAAAAAAAAAATTATGAAGTCGAACTAAGGATCAAATATGGTTTTTATTGTACAAAAAAAAAAATATATATTAAGTTAAAAAATTCTTGTACATAAGTGGCCAATGTTAATTCCTGCTCTGATGAAGGCCTTCAATGTTGAGTAAAATGTTGGCAATAAAAAAAATAAGGCTTCTTATGGGTGTAATTTCAACCTGAATCAACTTCTCCTATGATTTCTGTACAAATTTAATGCTTTCAAGTGATAGATGTATATATCTATCAAGTTAATGAAGATTTATATGTATATTGAGTTTTAATCTTTTAGTTTATGTATTTTCCCAAATTTTCTTAAGTAATACAAAGTGATTCAAACAAACCCTCGTTGAGAAATCATTTGGGATTATTATGATTGATATATTTATCTATTTATATTCAAGACCTGATCCAAGGTGATTTAGCAAAGTTTAAATCTGTAAAAAGTACTTGACTCTTCTGTAATCAGGTTCCAGTTTTACAGATTATATTATAATTTGATTTCTTTCCTCCAAAATTCTATTGTATCTTATTTTTAGTACAGAATTTATTAAATCAAATCAAAAAAGAAATTTAAGAATCATGTGATTAGATGGAATTTCGTTAAAGGACTTTAAACTTCTCAACTGTATTTAGCTAAGAACCATATCCAAGCTAAGGAAACTATCGATAACAATATCTGACATGGTACTTGACAAATTTCCATTATTCAAGTAAAAGCCTTTATAGTGGACTTACAAGTTCAGAGATGAGCTGTTCTATAAAGATTTACAGAAAGCATTACAAAGAGATGGAGAGAAAATAAAGAATTAAAGTTACTAAAACGATTCTCTGAATTCTTGACAGAACAACAAGACAGTTAAGTTTTCAAACACAATAAATTTTACATAATTAACACATAAGTGTATTATTCACATGGAAGCAGGATAGTTTCAGTGGGTAAGAAATTGACTTCCTGAGTTCAAGATCTCAGATTTGTATCCATCGCTGATGAGAGATAATTATTCTGTTTCATCAGCATGTATCGATCCTGGAGTTGGGAGAACCTCCTGCTGCACACCCATCTGTATAAAGTGGGGATTATAAATTAAATAATGAATTAAGAGGAAAACCTGGCAGTTGAGAATGATCCCAGCTCGATTACCTCTCTGCACAACCGTTGGCCTTAATACAATACTTCTTTTGATGTACTGAACCCAAAATTCTTCATGGATTGTAGTGGTACAGATTTTAAAAAATATATATTATTTACATTATTATGTGCCAATATTTTCATAATTTGATCATTTAAAACTGTAATTTAACAGTCACTTCATCATATTTTTAAAGTTTTAAGTGAATGCAATTATGAAAATTACAGTATTAAAAATGAACAAATAATACACAGATATGTGTAAAATATTTAAGTGATAACTACTTAAAAGTGATGTTACTTGTAAATGAGAACAATCAATTGGTAAAAAAGAAGGTTGGAAGTATGAAGTTGTATTATTTGAAATTCCAATTATCAAGTAAAAGTGAAACTTAAATACCAGCCTTCAAAATAAAAAATAAATATAGAAAATAATAATAAATAAATGTAGATAATTAATTAAACTTTTAGAAATCAATATTGTTAAGAAAATCATTGATTTCAGTTCCTTATCAAAATCAAAATATTGTTTATTTATCAATCTTAACCTATGAAAAAGTTGAATTTCTTTTAAAATAAAAGTTACAAATAACCTAAAGGAAGGCCCAGACTGATGTATAACAGGGATAGAGGTTGGCTCGATTAACATCTCATCTTAATCTAGTATCCCTCTATCACTGATGGCTAAAGGATTTTATCAATTAATTAGCACCTTTGAGACAGAAAGAAGAGAATAAATGAACAACAAGATATGTTTGGTACTCTATAATATAATGTTTGAATTTTTTTTTTGTTCTTCTGGCCACATCCCAATTCTATATATTCTATCGTGTAATTTATTTATATTATAAAATTTTTGGAAATATTATTTAACCATTATCTAATTTTTAATAAACAGTTCATTTATGTAGTGATTGTTGAATATAATGATATTAGAACATGCTCTATAATGATGATAATCACTTAGGAATAACTGAGGATGAGCCATGCAATTCAATTTCAGATGTTCATTCTTGGTTGATTTCAGCAATCCAAAAAGAACTTTAACTTGCAAAAGGTGGTAGAAGCAGTGAACAACCAAGTACAAAACGATGTAAAATTAAATTTTCGAGACTTTTTACCAGATGATTTAGAGTTTTACCGTTATTATGGATCGTTGACAACACCTCCCTGTTCAGAAGCTGTGGTATGGACTGTTTTTAAAAATAGGGCATCAGTGTCTAAGCTGCAAGTGAGTATGATGTTCAAATTATTGTATATAGTTTGTTTTTCTTTATTTCATTTAATATTAATCAAATATTTAAGAATCAGTATTATTGCTGCTGCAATAAATATGTAACACCAATTGAATATAATAATTTCTTTCAGCTTGATGGTATCAAGAGTGCTTTTCCTGAAAAAGTTCGTAACACATACAGGCATGTGCAGTCATTAAATGGAAGAGAAGTTGAGAGTTGGGAATTCAATTCTGAGTTTGCAAACAAAGTTAATTTTATAAAGAGTTCCGCAAATCTATTGGTGGCAGCTCCTTTATTTGCACACAATTTACATGGCATATTTTAAACTAATAAATTATTTTTTATAGAAGTCTTTCATATATTTTACTCCTTCCTCCTGTTTGTTATTCAATTACAAGAATGTAATATGATAACATGTGTAATAATTGTAATATGATTTTGACTGAATGAATGGTCGGATGTGTAACTTAGAAACTCTGGTCAGGCGTATTCAACCATTTTCTTTCTAATTCTTAATTGATTACTTTTCTCTATTCTTTTGTATTCAGGAACCCATATAACTCTTTTTATATTTCTGTTTAGGTTTATAAAACTACTAACAAATGCTTTTAAAATAGTTATTGATTTTGATTTTGTTATATTTTTGTTTTAATTCATTTGTAAATAGTAGACTCATGCAGAGTATCCAAAGTCATCGAATAGAAGTGGGAGTGCATTTTAAATCTCTTTCATAATCCCCTATAACTAATTAGGGGTTTCAGTGATGTTTTTTTTTTTTTTACCTCTGCTGCATTTAGGGCCTTCCAGCCCCCTTCAGGTTAAATGTGCTGAGATTTTGTATGGAGTGTCGTTTTCCAGATTGAAGAATATAATAAAAAAGCGAAGGTGGTGGAATAAAGTTCAGTACAAATCTTGACATAATGAGATATAATTTTTTCAGTTTTTAAATTAGTTCAAAGAATATAATAAAAAATGGAGGTGGTGGAATAAATTTCAGTCCAAATCTTGACATAATGAGATATAATTCTTTCATTTTTTAAATTAGAAGGATAAAAATTTATAAGGAAATTAAGTTGGTGTTCAAGAAGTGAATTTAAATTTTTTTTCCTACCTTCTATCATTTTTCTTTTTCTTTTTTATTATATCATTTTTCAACCTCTATGTGCAATGGTGTCAAGTTAAAAAGAGTTTTTACAGCAGGAGTGAGAGTGGTGCACATGGCACCAGTTGTCATAAGTTGTACAAGGATTTGTAATTTTCCAAGCAGAGCTATAGGCTTGCTTATTCTTTCCTTATGCTATTATGCAATTCCAATGACAATAATTAATTTCAGTGTTAGTTTATTGACTATTTTCTTTTTTGGTCCTAACTACCGAAAGTAGGAAAGCATATAGTATTCGCGCGGAAGGTTCTTAATGCATACAATTTTTTGGTGAAATTGAAAATTTCTACTCGCATGTTACATAATAGACATCAGTGTCTGTTTTTAGTCAAATCGATGTGACCGGCCAATAAATAATATATAATATAACCTACTTCCGTTTACTTTATATTCACGAAATTTCCAGTAATTGTGTGGGCTGGTGCCTAGATGTTCCCATATCCCATCCAGTATTTTCGCTTATTCACGAGGAATTGTATTTTTAATTTCACTTATCTATATATGAAATATATAGTAAGGGATTACATCCATGATGGGATCCAGGATTGCGACCGTGAAAATTTTCGAATTTGAGTTTTCAATGAAAAGATATGTTTTGAAGTTTCCTGAGTCCAAATAACCAAGTCCCGCAAAATGGTCTGTGTGTGTGTATGTAAGTATGTGCGAATCTAGCTCAAAAATGAATAGTCATATGAAAATGAAATTGCATATTTGAGGTTTCTATAAGCCTTGGATGTTACAGCAATCTTTTCGTCAAAATCAGCAAACCGGAAGTGGCACTTTATATCAATGATCATATACATTTTTACAATTTTCTCAAAAGCGCTCCAACGATTTTGTTTAAACTCACTATATCAGTGTATTATCAAGCAGTTTTTAACATAATCTAGGTTTTATTCTCATTGATGTTCTCTAACAGGGCTTAAATGGCTAATTTTCAATAATAGATTTCTCTAAAGTTCCTTTAATTGTTTTTATTTGAAATAGTTAACATTTCTCATTAATCTTTGATATAATAAATAGTTAAATATAAAATATGAAAGAATTTGGTAATTAACTAAAGATGAAATAAGAGATCGTGACGGATAATAGTTGTGATGCAGGAACCAAAGGAATACGAGCGCACCCGAGTTCACCCGAGGTCTCCCGAAAGATTAAAACACAGGTGTGTCCATCCTCTCCAAAGTCGATGGCGCAAGAACCTACCACCTCCTCCTCCCAAGATATTTTATTGCTCACTTTTCCATACAAAGCAAGGGAAAGTAGAGTTAGAAAAATCGTAGGTCATACACAATTACATTTGATGCGGTCTGTTTCACGTTTTCTTCTTGTCACTTATTCTGATACTTTTCATTCCGATAATTCATAACCCGTTGAAATTTTCCCTCTCAAAAATTCAAAAAACCGTAAAAATATGCCCCCCTTAAAAAGTTTAATGGCTCAACTTGCTCCATAAAACTCCCTTCTGGGTATCCCTGTTACAACAGGCTTCCATACCAAACATGAGCTTAATATAATACGGGCTCCGACAATGTTTTATTATTTAATATTTAATTGTATAGAATACAGCGATATCAAAATTAAAATTAGTATATGTAAGTATATTTAAATGTAAATGTAATTGTAAACAATGAAATGTAAATAAATATAGCGCCTATTATTTTTACTTTCACGAAACGAAAGAGAATTTCATGGACAAATGATGAATCACAATTTCTATGACAACTTTAATAAGTCTTTAAAAAAATAGGAGATTTTAATCTTATGTTAATCTCATACCTGCACCGGTGTTATACTCAAAAATGTACGGTTTTCGATATAAATCGTAATTCTTACAGAAATTCTCTTAGGTGACATGGTTGCCATGAGATACTTAAACATATTGTTATTTACAATATAACTAAAAATTTATTGAAAAAGTTAACGGAAGAGAATAAAGAACGGAAGAAACTTTATTCTTAAATGATATAAGAATGTAAGGCCGGTCAGGTTAATCTATACAGGCAAACCGGAAAGGTTTACCTGTGCAAATTAGATCACACACACGCTACTGTAAACCGTAAGATTTTAACTCATTCGAGAGATGGCGATTAAACACGAAGACGACGCGATCGTTTCACTTGATTTAAAACTGTGCTAATTAACCTAAAAACTGTACAGATATTCCGGAATGACTCAAACTCATGTTCAGGTCTACACGCCTGTGCAGTTATAAAATACTAAATTCCTATTGTTCTTCGGTCTCCTGCACAAGTCGCTAAGCCTGTAGTTTGGCCTGCAGCGGTTGGCGCACAAGCTAAGTTTTACCTATACAGGTAAAGCTTAACGGTATACCGGAACTTTTGTGCCTGTCCTAAGTATAAATAAAAAAATAAAATAATAAAATAATAAGAAAATAAAAAGTATGTACAAACTGTAGTAATTGTAATCATGCTAACGATTAGTAGAATATATGCTGACGAATTCAAACCTTTTCCTTGAAGTTATCAAGGAGGAAGTTTTTATTTGTTTTTTTATTAAGAGATTAAAATCGTTTCATAATATATCTGTTTCCGGTTTAAAAGTTGATTTCTTTTTCAACATAGGTATTTAATGTAACAAAAAATAAAAAAATAATCAAGAAATTAAAGTTTATTTATTAAACTGGAAATATATTGATTTGGCCGAAATATATATTGAAAATTTGGCCGAAGTACATTAATTTCGATATTGGTACACCTGTATCGCTCTATAAAAAGAGCCGGTGTACTGCACATAAACCGGTCTCTGGTAATGACCGTCAACGAATCTCATATCATGGTCGGGTTACTTAAACCTTTAACAAGGAATATTGTATGCATCTTAAGATGCAACAATAGCAATAGTTTCATTAGATCAAAACCAAGAATAAAACCATTGTGTTGGAATAAACTTCCGTCCAAATTTGGGCCAAATCGGTTTTGAAATAGATGCAAAAAAAATACGTTATCAATTTTATTTTCGTATTAGAAATTCGAATCAATTTTTCACTAATTTTAAACTTTAAGCCTAGTCGAAAGAGACGTTAATTAATTTCCCTTCTCCACGAATTCAAAACTTTTCTACCTTGGTATTCAAAACTTGGTAATGAGCAAGCAGGATTTATTAAATTATCAAAAAAAAATAAAAAATAAAATAAAATAAAGATATAACAATGTTAGTATTGAGTGAATTATTAGAAATCTATTAAAGATTAATACTTGCTATTAAATAGGTTTATCACCAAAAACTAGAGGACCAAACATTAATAATGGCTTAAACCTATCAAACTTATTAATATTCTCATAACTAATTGTTAGAAATATAAAAATTTATCAAAAGTTCTCAGATATTGTGTTCAAAAATACTATTGTTAGGTAATATTAAACTGTTTTATTTTATTTTATGCTCAAGTTGTTTACCAACGATAGTCACTTCTTAAATTATTTATTTTAAAGGAAAGGCGGGCATGGTATTATTTTGCATAGCAATTAAAAAGTTTTGTAATAAAAATAAATTGTTAATATTATAATTTTAGTTCGTATTGCAATTATAGATATAAATATGGTGCAGGAACACCGAAAGCTAATTTTAAGGTGAAAAATAAATAATTTAAATAGAGACTGTCGTTGGTTAACAACAAATATTATTATTTTGATGGACTCCTGTCAGACCGCTTTCTCTGTTAACATTCTTAAATTTTTCGGTTGTATATTTAATGACTTTTGTTTGAAAACCAAATCGGTTTTTGTTAGTACACGATATATAGATATTAAAACTACCGAACTAAAATATCGATTCCTTTTATAAAATAATGATATTTTTACATCACTAGAAAAAGATGCACCGTAAGAAGGTACCGAGGAATTTTAAAGGTCACTGTTCAAGATATAGTTTTTTCTTAAAGTAATAAACTTGAATTATTTGAATTTTATTTATTTATTCTATGTAAAACAGAAACTATTTTGTTTTTAGATTTTTATTTAAACATTACTTACTAAAGTTGTTTTTAACCCATCATTCTGATATAAGCCACTCCTTCAATTGGCATTTCTTCATTGCTTGTACTATTAAAAATTTAAATTTTAGCCTAAATACCCCTCTCTCCTTGAATCCGCTTGTTATGTTTGGAAGTTTTGTATTTAAACGGTTTTGAACTTTTCCGTTGTGTAATAACTTATCTTAC